AAAAAGAAAATCCACTTAAGTTTTTTCTCCACAAATCCTTCCCAATACATCAAAGAATTCCAATATCTGAGTTGGTCCTCTAATCTTACCTGGCAGGACATTCACATTATTCTCACTAGCACCCCTGTCCCTGAGGAGGGGAGATGGTGGCAGGCGGCAGCCAGGACAGCAGATAAATATGCCCAAGACACCAGTAAAGACCCTGGGGCGAGGGCAGTTGCCAGACAAGATCCATATGGGTTAGTGACCCTGACCGTGGACACTGGACATGATGTCCAGACTGCACAGGTTACATTAAAACGGGCTTCAAAGGGCAGCTCTCAGAGCCTAACTGTGACAAGGTCAGAGAGGACCACCGAACACCTGATAAAAGTCCAGCCCAATTAATGGCACGGTTCACAGAGGCCCTTAGAGCCCACAGCCGACTGGATCCTCAGTCTGCCGAGGGCCAGCTTTTCCTTAAACCCTGCTTCATCTCCCAACCAGCCTCTGATATCCAAGCCAAACTGAAAAAGTTTCAGGATGGGCCCTAGACGCCACGGGAGACCCCATGTTGGCCGCCTTCCAGGTGTTTCAGGGACAGAGGAGCAGGCTCGCCAATAGACACATACGAAAGCCAAACAGCAGCCGCCAGCCAAGGCCCTCATGCCGGCAGCCCACAACAAGGCCTTTTCTAAAAAGAACCCCCTCTCAGGCCCTATTTCCAGGGCAGAAAAACTGGACACTGGGCCACACCATGTTCTAGCCCACACCCACTGAAGGAACTGTGGCCCCTCTGTGGCAGTGGTCACTGGAAGATGTGCAGCCCAGACGGTCCCTGAGCCACACAGAGCCCGGAGCCATCCTCTCCCGATACCTTTCCCATAGACCCCTTGGGAGCAGCACTGGGTGCCCCCTCTCCCCACCCCAAACAGGTGAGCCTCGCTGACTCTCCTCATCCTTTAATTGAGGATTAAATGATACCAGATGGGCCGGGTGTGGTGGCGCACGCCTGTAATCCCAGCACTCCGGAGGCTGAGGCAGGAAGACCGTTACGAGTTCGAGACCAGCCTGGGCTACAAAGTGAGCTCAAGGCCAGCCTGAACTGCATAGCGAGACCCTGTCTCAAAAAGACAAAAAAATAAAAAAAATATACTGGATCCCAGGAAACCTGACAAGAGCCCAAACACTTCTGGGTCTACCTGCAATAGGGTCCATCATATGCGGTCCTTCATTTTATTTCATTCTTTTTTCTTCGGGATACTGGGAATCGAACTCAGGACCTTTTGCTTGCCAGGCAGGTGCCTGTGCCACTGAGCTACATCCCCGACCCTGGCCCTGGATTTTAAAACTGCTGTTATTGATTGGATCTGCCACCAATCAATAACGGCCACCCAGCCCCAATGCCAACTCAAACCAAGACCCAAAACTGACCTCAGGGTGTCTGCTTTTTTTTTTTTGGTACCAAGAATCGAACTTATGACCTCAGGCTTGCCAGGCAAGCACTTATGCTGCTGAGCTTTATCCCCAGCCGCTGACCTCTGGGTATCATGTCTCTCTCGTTCTCACTTTGTCCAGCTCACCTTGGACCTCCTCCTTGATCTACAGGGGCACCCCACCCCTCCTGGCTCTGTCTGGATAGACACCTTTACCTCTCTCATTGTGGACTAAGGCTCCAAGGCACTTTCCAAGATTTTTTCCCCATTCAAACCCCATTCTTTGCTTTTCTGTCTGTTAGTATAAAATCCCCAGAGCAACCTACCACTCCTACTCCACCCGAGACACAACACCTATGTCACATGCTCAGTTTACCCTTCACCTTCCCAGCCAGTCCAACGCAAATTAACAAAGAGGAGCTGGTCATGCCTCCCCACGACTGCTGCGGCCGGCCACACAGCCCCCACGCCAGCCCCCACCTGGCTCCAGGTCAAGGTGTCCTGAGCCCTCGGACATATGCAGACACGTCTCCTCTCACACCCCCACACACTCTTCCGGACCCAGAGGAACTCAAGGCCGTTGGTGTAATTCCACCCTCACCATCTGCAGACAGACTGATCATATGAACATTCACCTGCCTCAGGCCTACGGGGTCACCAGACTTACCTACACAAGAGGAAACTTAAAAACAGCCTAATACTCGGTCCCACAGATGGCCACTCTCAACAAAAATCACACTAGACTGCTCCGACTCCAAGCTCCAAATGCTAACGGTTCCCAGAGGGAAAAGCTACTTGCGCTCAGCTCACATACACAAGAGGACAAGGGTACTGCCTGTAGCTGGGTAAGGGGAAAGTTGACTCTCTCCCTGCTAAACAAAGGACAGAGGAGCTGGGGATTTAGCTCAGCGGCACAGCACCTGCGTGGCAAGCTCAAGGTCGTGAGTTCAATTCCCCGTACTGGAAAAAACCAAAACAAAACAAAAAACCAAAACAAAAACAAAAACAAAGCACAGAGTTAAAACACCACTGGTCCCCTTTCTGGCCCTCAGGGGGGCAGCCTGACCCAATCACTCCGGGTGTGGACCACGCTTAGCACACCATTCACCAGAGGGACTCCAGGCCCCTGTGCTCCCTCGGATCCCTGTTTGATGGACCCCCCAGCACCTGTTCTGGACAGACCCCTCGACTCCCACAGAGACCGAAGGCATCTTCTTTCTCTGTGGTGTCTCAGCATACTCCTGCCCGCCTGACCAACTGGACAGGTTCGTGTACATTAGGCTTTCTATCCCCCAAGGTAGACCTGGAGGGCTCCCAGCTCAGCCCACCTCTGGTCAAGATGATGACCTCACAAAAGCAAAAGAACAGCCCAGTGCAGCGCTTCTGGTAGGACTGGGAGTAATAGCAGGGTCGGTGCAGGGACAGCAGGTCTTGCCGCTCCGCCCACCTACCTCAACCAACTCTCTTGACCTCACTCAAACCTGGCAACACATGGCGCAGAGCCCAGCAGCTCTCCAGAACCAAACAGATTCGTTGGTTGCTGCGGCCCCACAAAACCGTAGAGGTCTTGATATTCCAAAGGCCGCAGAGGGAGGTCTCGGCTTGTTCCTGGAGGATTAATGCTGCTTTTCTTTAGCCAAGTCTGGCATCGTGTGAGATTCCGCCAAAAAACTCGCAAAGCCTCAGAGAGCGAGCGACAGTGCGCTGAAGCACCCTGGTTCTCCTCACAGACCACGGAGCGCCCTCCAGGGACCCCTGACAGTCATGGTCTGCGTGTTAACGTTAACTCCTTAGTCAGTTTGTTCAAAGCTGATCTGCACGGATACTCCTCCCTCACCACCCGGATGCTGATGAGCCAGTACGTCCCCTGTGGGACCCCGGCCCTACTCCTAACTCCAGCTTTTTCTCCCCTTGACAAGGACCCCACGTAGCAAGAAGCAGCCACTTGGGGAGGTGACTCACAACCCCACCCCTTCAAAGGAGGAGTCGGGCATGTGAGGCCTAAACCCACCATCCCTGCACTCCAAGAGACAAAATGTTCCTTCCACATAAACTGCACTGGGGGGCTTCGCATCCTGTTTATGCCCCAGGCCTAACCACAATGTCCTTCCCAACCAACACACCCCAACAACCTACTCAGCCCTGGCAACAATATCCACCAATGATAGCCCGTTAGAGGGACCTAGTCACCTAATCCCCAGCCCCGGGCCTGTATGCCACAAGCTCAACTCTCTGCTCCGGCACCCCAAAGAAAACATATTTCCTGCTAAGTATGATGGTATAAGCCTGTAACCCCGGCACTCAGGAAGCTGAGGCAGGAGGATTACCGTGAGTTTTAGGACAGCCTGAGCTGCAGTCAGTTCAAAGTCAGTTTAAACTTCATAGCAAGACCCAGGCTCAAAGACAAAACAAAACAAACAAAAATGCCCTTCCTCTTTTGTTTATGGCTGGGTCCTGGATTTATGACCCAGGTGTACATTGCGGGAGACAACAAACTTCCACTTTAAATTTTCTCATGGCTGGTTGGTTTCATCACGGGTCTTTTCTGACCTAAGAGTAACAGTGTTGTAGGGGAGGGTGGAAGATTCGCCCTAAACCCAGGCAGTGGTAGTGGGGGAGTTAGCCGAGCCTGAGCCTGGCCTGTCCTCCCACCCTCATGTGGCGCAGGCTGCCCTGGCCTCCCCCGCCACACCCTGCGCCCCTCCATCCCCTCATAAAACCACTTACGGGGCCCACAAGCAGGGCTTTTATTGCTAACTTTGGGAATTTTCTCCTCCACCGTCCTCACCCACCAGCCCAAACCCATGAAAACACCCAGGTTTTTATGGGCCTGTCTCCTGGCTGTAAAGGGAGCTAATTATACGGTACAAGCTCCATTTGCAATTCCGGAGACATGACTTTCCCACAGGACGGTGAAGTGCTGAGCAGGGAAGGGCAGGCCCAGGTGAGGCGGAGCTGCCTGCACTGCAGCAGGACGGCCGGAAGTTAGACTTTGGGGAGAATTTCCTCACCCACCTTCACAGGTGATCACGGGTGATCCAGCCCCACCCAGTGTCCCCACCCTGCAGGTGTGGCAGTGTGGATCCTGAGTAAGCCTGTGATAGGGTCCCAGAGGACGCTGAGGCTCACTTTAGGAACCACAAGGGCTGGAAGTGGTAGCCCACCCGTGAGTGCCAGCACTCTAAGAGGCTGAGGCAGGAGGACCTAAAGTTCCAATGCAAGCAAGACTTGGTGGCACATGCCTGTAGTCCCAGTGCTCAGGAGGCTGAGGCAGGAGGACTGGTACAAGTTTGGGACCAGCCTGGGCTACATAGTGAGTTCAAGGCCAGCCTGAACTACATAGTGAGACCCTGTCTCAGAAAACCAAAAAAACAAAAACAAAACAAAAAAAACTACTAGAAATCTTTAAAAAAACAAAACAACAACAAAACCAACCTAGGCAACTTACTACCTTGCCCAGGGCTGGGGATACGCAGGTCCTCAGGGAGTGTGGCTGAATGAATGAATGAATGAGCAAACGATGCTTTCGTGGGGACTGAGCCATTGCCCTGCCACCCCAGGGCCCTCCCAAGGCAGAAGCGGAGTTTGCTTTTCATATCTGTTTGGCCAAATTCTGCTCTTAAACTCACATCAAAGCCCTAGAGGGTCTGGTTGTTTTCTCATCTCAGTTTCTCCATAGGTAAAATGGGGCGCTTTGTAGAGCTGCTCCTGGGCAGCCATCCCCGCCCCTCACTCTCACACAAAACCCCCAAACCATCCCTTTCTTTTCTAACCTCAAACAGAGCAAGGCGCTGGGCCTTTAGCCCATCACAGACCATCCCAGCCTCCGTTTCCCTTTCCGGGATATAGGCCGTGAACTCCCTGCACAGAGACAAGAAGACACACAACTGAGGCTGCCTTGCTGCTGTCTGGTCTTTGTCCCGAGCACTCGCAATGCCAGCCCTGGCCGGGTAGTTCCACGGCCACCTGCTGCGTGCGGGCTCTGGGTGACAGGACAGGGCTAGGAGACACCTGGAGCCTCGGATCACTTGCTCACTCAGCAACTCGGCCTGTGCTGATGGCGTGTGAGACCCTAAGACCCATCAGCCTGTACCCCCAGCCCCCCGCAGGCTGCTGCAGGCTGTAGCCTTGAACTGGACAGGCCTGCTAGTGGGTTGCGCATTTTCCTGGGCTGCAGCATCTGGCTGTTGCATCAGCTCCTCACAAACATCAAGAATCAGTAGCCTAGAAACCCAACCAGGTCCCAAATAGCACGGAGAATGCACAGGTGGAGAAGAGACCAGGGGCCACAGGGAGCAAGCAGCCGGTCCCCAGGGAGAGCATCACGGAAGCGGAGAGCCCAAGGGCATGTGGGGAGCTGAAGCCTAAATCCTGACGCTCCAACGCCAGGCCAGAGCGGAACTCTCCTGCCGCGGCTCCTGCTGGGATCTGTGCGGACAACAGTGTGAAGAAGGCCGCAGGTGCTTTGAGATCCGCAACTAGCGGGGAAGAGGAAGAGGAGGGAGCTGCACAGGCCCCAGCTCTGGGCACCAGCCGCCGGCAGGCGGAAGAGGCCGCGCTGAATGACTTCCTGTCTCTACCCCGGCCCAGCACTCGGTGCACACAGAGCCTCATCCATCCCCAAGCCCTGTCCCCAGGGTGTGGGAAAGGAATTGGTGAGGTGCACCCCAGGCTATTTCGGGCCACTTCTGAGGCCATGTGCTTCCTGTAAGCAATGCACCAGAGAGAAGCCGTGTCAGCCTCAGGGGGAGCCCTGTAGCGGCATGGCATCTCCGCAGCACCCGTGCACTCTCCACTCCAGAAAGGGACACCAAGGTCAAGGTCGAACCCAATTTGATCAAGGCCACCTGCTAGGAAGTGGTAGAGGTGGCGCTTTGACCTTGGTTATGGCCGGAGAGCCCAATGTGTGCCGCGACACTGGCTGACAGCGAGAGATATCCTGGGACCTGTCTCCCCCTCCGCATCCCCACCCCCGACTCTGCTAGCTGTCCCTGGCTGATTCCCATCACTAGCCATCCCCCGGGGCAGGCCACGGCCAGCAGGTCGAAGTCCCAGAGAAGTTCACGCACAGCCCAAATCCCAGAACTTCTGTGACCCAGAACCGTGAAAGGCGCAAGCTGTCCCCTCCTTCCACGTCGTTCCCAAAGACCTCCGAGCCCCAGGCCTGTCCCTGCTGTGACCTTGGACACTGCACAAACGGGGCTATGGGGACCTATAGCTATTTTTAGAGGCACAAAAGGCTAAAAGGATAATGTCTTCTCCCTCCAGGGACAGGAAGAGGTGGCCCTGCCAAGGCCTTGCCGGGAAGGCCTGCAGTGCTGGAGCTGGGGAGGGACAGCCCGACAGGGGGCACCTGACAAAGGACAGGTCCAGGAAGGGCCACTGCAAGGCTGACAGTGGACCATGTGGGCAGAGATGCCCAGGTGCGGCTGGTGGGACTCTCTCTCTCCTGGGCACCAGCAGGGCATCCTGGAGAGGAAGCTGCCCCTAGCTGGCTGTGTGACCCCATGAAAGCTGGATACCCTCTCAGCCCGTTTCTCCACCAATGACCACCCTGGTCTCTGAGCTCTAGGCCCTAACTGCCCACGGCTGGAAACCCGCTCTGCCCTGCGTGGCTGTGAGACCCTGGGCAAGTCAGCACCTCCTGTGCACCTGTCCCAGGGACAGTCACGGGTCCTGCCTGCAGTCCTCACGGGGACCGACTCCGAGCGTGCGTGCACGGAGCTGGCACACGGCCAGCCCTCCATACATGGCAGCTATGCCATTGTTACAATTGCTCTTATTATTTTCCCACTCTGGAGAAAGAGGCAGGAAGGGGAGGGTGCCCGGAGTTGCTGGCTGCTGACCTGGGTCTGCCTTCCAATCAAGCCTCCCAGAGAGAGAGGGAGGGAGGGAGGGAGGGAGGTGGGTCAGAGGAGGGGAGTGAGTCCAGGCAGGCGCTACTCACTCGTTGGTCATCTGCACCACCTTCTCGATGGCGGTGTAGCCGGCTGCCATGAAGTGCTCCGTGTACTGCTGCATCTTGATGGACTCCAGCCACTCGGACACCGTGCGGAAGGGGACGCCCTCCGAGCCACTGGTACTCGGCAGCCGGATGGACACCCTGCAGCAGAAACCGCGCAGCTGTAGGTGAGGGTCCATGAAGCACCCCAGCTCTGCTGGTCCCTAAGCAGCAGTCCACGCGGCTGTGTATGCCTCACTTTCCTCACGGATACCACGTGTCCCTTGTTTCTTCATCTGAGCAATGGGGAAGCTGGCCAGGCGGGGCTCAGGGAGCTTGCCCAGCATGCTGGAGAAACCCAGTGTTCATGCCTACCGCTGCCCCTCCATTCCTGCTAGCAAGACGCCACCAGAGCCCCAAATCACAGAGCATCGTGAGCACAGCTTCAGGGACCTGGCCCCTCGCCAGCCATGAAAGATCCTTAACCACCTGGTGTCTCAGTATCCTCGTCTACAAAAGGGGATAATTACAGGACCGTCTCGCGGACGTGAAATGAGTTAACACACGTTGAGTGCCGAGCTCAGGGTGGGCACATGCACTAAGGGTCGGTTTCTCCTGCTAACGTGACCGGTGCTGTCCCCTGTCCCGTGTGGCCTGGGCACAACTTCTAAGCCCCCTCGCCATCCCCTGGCTGCCCCCAGCTGTCCACTGTACCACAGTGGCTCAGGAGTCTGCAGGGGTGAAGCCAGGGTGGCCACAGGCAAAGGGGTGGCACTCACCGGGGGTCAAAGTCAGCCAGGGTCTTGAGGGAGTTGGGGGCTCGGATGAGCTTGTCAAGAATGCTGACGATGTCCGCAAACTTGGGGCGCCGGGCGCGCTCCTGCTGCCAGCACTGCATCATGAGCTGGTAGATGGCGGAGGGGCAGTCCATGGGTGTGGGGAGCCGGAAGCCGTCGTTGATGGCTTTCATCACCTGGGAGGGGGCAGGATGGTCATGGCAGGCAGCAGAGGAAAGCTTTGCCCGGACCCCCAGAAGGTCCGATACACACAGAGGCCAGACAGGGCGGGGAAGGGAGCCCCAGAAACAGGATGACTCCTTATTTTTCTGTTTTGTGGTATTTGGGATTGAACCCAAAACCTTTGCCCTAGCTACATCCCAGCCCTTTTATTTATTTATTTATTTATGTCTTTTTGAAATAGGGTTTCCTTATGTAGTTCAGGTTGACCTTGAGCTCACTTTGTAGCCCAGGCTGGTCTCAAACTCACAAAGATCCTCCTGCTTCAGCCTTCTCAGTGCTGGGTTTACAGGCACGCACCACCACGCCCGGCTTTCTTTCTTATTTTGAAACTTGGTCTTGTGAATCCTTAAATTACTCAGTCTGGGCTTGAATTTGCAATCCTCCTACCTTGGCCTCCCAGAGTGCCGGGATTACAGGTGTGTGTGACCATGCCTGGCTGGGTCTCCTTTCTCCAGCCCAACACACAACCTCTAGCTGACCCCAGCCGCCGTGGAGGGAGGGACTGGCAACCTCAGAGTCCCCAGGAGTCCAGCTCTGTCTCTGGATTTTCCTTGGCTGGGCTCTGTTCCCTGCCTTCTCTTTTCCTGGCTCCCTCTCTCCACTCTGGGTCTCAGCAGAAATGTGACCTCCTGGAAGCCTCCTGGCCTCTGCCCTGCTTGAGGCCCAGTCACAGAGGCATGCACGTGCACATGAGTGTATACATGCACACACAGATGCACACGGCCCACTCCCTGTTTCTTGTCTTCGTAACTCTGAGCACACAGTAGAGCGACTTCTTGAAGCCGTGAACGGTGTATACCGGATGAAGATTAAACCCCAAGTCAGGCGTGGTAGCCTGTAATTCCAGCACTTGGGAGGCTGAGGCAGGAGGATTGTTGCAAGTTCAAGGCCAGCCTGGGCTACAAAGTGAGCTCAAGGCCAGCCTGAACTGCATAACGAGACCCTGTCTCAAAAAGACAAAAAAAAAAAAGAGAGAAAAAGATAAACCCCAAAACCCCGTCTGCCCTGCTGCCAGAATTGGGGAGGAGTAAAGGGCTTCGGTTCGGGGCCCACTGGGAAACTGGACTCACCTCATGGTTCGACAGCTCCCAATAGGGCCGCTCCCCGTATGTCATCACCTCCCACATGACAATGCCATAGCTCCACACGTCGCTGGCCGAGGTGAACTTGCGGTAAGAGATGGCCTCAGGGGCTGTCCAGCGGATTGGGATCTTGCCACCCTGCAGAGGACCCGGCCCCGTCACCAGCGTTCCCTCTTCTGTGTGGTTAGGGCGTTCCTGCCCTGTGAGGTCCTCGGCCTCAGTGTGCCGGACAGAGGCAGTGGGCAGAGCAATGGCTGTGCCCGAGTCCCCTGACCCAGTGATGACAGCCCCAACTCACACTGGTGGTGTAGGTGGCCTCGGGGTCATCCTCCAGCACTCGGGACAGACCGAAGTCGGACACTTTGCAGACCAGGTTGCTGTTGACAAGGATGTTGCGGGCGGCCAGGTCGCGGTGCACGTAGTTCATGTTGGCCAGGTACTTCATGCCGGACGCGATGCCCCGCAGCATGCCCACCAGCTGCAGCACGCTGAACTCGCCGTCCTTCTCCTGTGGGGACACGGGTCCTCAGCAGTCAGCCAGGCACCCCAGCCGCCTGGCCCCCGCCGCCCTCCCTGCCCCTGACCACATCCTTACCCGAAGGAACTTGTCCAGGGCGCCGTTCTCCATGTACTCCGTGATGATCATCATGGGCTTGTCTGCGGGCCATGGTGGAGGTGTGAGAGGTGGGCAGGGCAGGGCGGGCACAGCGATGGTCAGGTGGCCCCCGGGGCAGCCCCCCCCCACCGCAGGTCAGGCCCCTGGGGTCTCCTGAGCCTCACATTTGGAGATGACGCCCTCCAGGCGGATGATATTGTGGTGGCTGAACTGTCCCATAATGCTGGCTTCGCTCAGGAAGTCCACCCGCTGCTTCTCCGTGTAGCCAGCTTTCAGCGTCTTGATGGCCACAGGCACCTCCTTCTTTCCCGAGGACGACTTCAGCATCCCCTTGTACACCTCCCCGAACTCTCCTGTGGGCGGGCAAGGTTGGGGAGCGCCCCAGTTAGCCCAGGTGTCAGGTGACCCCGACCCATACCGCTCACCACCTGCCTCCCAGGAATGCCAGCCTCACCTGCCCCGATCACTTTCTGCCGCGTGACGCAGGACGGGTGGATCTCTGTGGTGAACTTGAGTACAGCCTGGTTGGGGTCTTCATAGGTGTGGGGGTCCACGTATGTCTTCAGGGGCTTCAGTTGTTCTGCAAAGGGAGGGCCAGACACAGCTCAGAAGGGATTCCTGGGAGGGTGACCCCCTAGGGGAAGAAGAGGCTGAGGGAGCCACGTGACCAGGGACCTCAGGAGATACGGGCCAGGCTGCGGGGCATGGATCCTCTGGCTGAGCCCCTGGGGCAAAACCTCTGGGCCCCTCCCCAAGCAATGGAGACACCTGGCTGTCCCCACCTCTGGCGCAGAACTGGAGAGGCGGCTGGGGGCAGCAGCAACAGGGCCCAAGGTTGCTGCAAGGGGCTACATCTTACCTGACTTGGAGAAATACACATCCTCTGAGGACTGGCGAGCCCGGAGCCTCCTCCTCCTGGAAGACCCCCAAGGGGACAGGAGGTCAGCATGGCCTAAGGTCACCAGCAGCACCTCCTGCCCTGCCCCTGTCCTGGGGGATGTGCTCAGCCCTTTGCTCGGTGTCTTCTGCCAACCAGAGGACGTGGGGCAGGCAGAGGAAATGAGCAAGCCAGGACTCACGCTGGATCTACGCCCCATAATGGCCCCATAAGTGGCCCTAATGAGGGCTTTCCTCATGAAAGCTGCCCAGCACTTCCGGCCTGGTATCCAGAGGAAGAGTGGACACACCGTTAATAACAAGAGCGGAGATGATGACCATTACAGCCCACTGTGTGCTAGGCACTGTGTGAAACATGGACAGGTCATCACAGTCGAACATTGCCCAGGAAGCAGGGATTAGATTAGATTAGATTAGATTACTGTCAGCCCATTTTCCAGATGAGGAAACTGAGGTTCCTGGCCCTGTGTGTCCTCTCCAAGCCCTTGGGGAACCTGGATGTGGATCCTCCAACCAACCTGCGGTGGATGAAGAAGCCGATTCCAGCCAGCACCAGGAGCAGGACGACACCGACGGCCACACCACCAATCACTGCCATGTTGCCAGATCCTTCCAAGGCTGCTGGGAGAGACCAGCTGATGACAGGGAGCCCTCTCACCCCGAACCATGACAACACCCCCAGCCGCACTCAAGACCCACGCTAGGGACTGAAGACACCTGGGCATCTGCTGTGTGCTGGGTGCTTTGGCTTGTGAAGCCCCAGGGGGAAATTCAGTCCCATGTCACAGGCAGTCACTGCAGGGATTCCCAGGGGTGCAGGACCCGAAACTTGGGCTCTTTCTGTGATGCACAATTTGAACTCAGGTCCTGCCAGGCTAGAGCTTACAGCTTTCTGCCTCCTCACAGCATGGCCCTGGTCCCCATCCCCCTCAGCCCTCAATTCTGCCCCTCCCCGGGGAGCTCCCAGGGGGCTGTTCCAAATTCTTGGGTCCGAATTCTTGGACCGGCTTGCTCTTCGCAGGACGTCCTGACTGCGGGGTCTCAGGGCCCCGGCGTGACGCACGTCCTGCTCCCCCTACTCACACAGTGTTTGGAACTCATGCTCCTTGCTGCCAGCCCCCTGGCCCTCCTGCGTCAGCGCCTGCACCTGGACCAGGTAGGTGGTGTCCGGTGCCAGGTTCTCCAGGGTCACAGAGAAGCCCTCAGTGCGGTGCACATTGTAGCTGTTGGCATCCCCCTGTGTGCCAGCGGGCAGGGAGCAGGCAGTGAGCGAGGGGCAGGGGCTGTGGCGCAGCCCTCCACACCCCGAGCCCCCACCGACGGTGGCTCCCCTGGACGCTCTTCTCACAGAGGAAGAAACTGAGCCCCAGAGGTGCAACTTACTCAGCTCACAACCAGCAAATGCACGACGCAGGACCCCTCTTCCACCCTCCCCCCAGGGCTGTTTGCTTTGCCCTCCTGGGACCCAGTACATCTCTACTTCCCATGCCTGCTGTGCTGCCCTGGGAGACTCCAGACCTCAGTCTCCCCAGCTGCAGAAGGGAGCGTCCCGTGGTGTCAGTCTGCTGTGGCGAACACCCATGTGATCTGCCCACTGCCTGCCCAGGGGCCTAGCATCAGCCACCTCGCTCAGAGAGTTACCTTCTTTTGTGTTTGTTTGTTTTTTGAGATACTATGCACTCAGGCTCACTATGCAGTTCAGGCTGGCCTTGGACTCACTTTGTAGCCCAGGCTGGCCTTGAACTCACAAAGATCCTGCTGCCTCAGCCTCCTGAGTGCTGGGATTACAGGTGTGCGCCACGAAACCCGGCAGAGTTTGATTTATGTCTTTTGCAGTACCGGGGATTGAACCCAGGGCTTCATACATGCCAGCTAAGTGCTCGACCACTGAGCTACATCCCCAGCCCTAAAAGAGTTACCTTCTTGTGGTAGGTGACCTCGTACTTCCACACACGGCTCCGCTGGGGGATGGGGATGCTCCAGGTGATGGTCAACGAGGTGGTGGTGCGGCCTTCCAGCCTCACTTTGGGGGGCTCTGGGTGGAAGAGAAGGTAAGGGAGGGGTGTGAGGAGCTACCAGGTCAGGGGGACCAGTGGATCCAGAGCCAGCTGCCTCCACAGCCCTGACTGTTCAGACCCCACCCTGGGTGCCAGGCATGGTGGTTGCACATCTGTAAGCTGAGCACGCAGGAGGCTGAGACAGGAGAATTGCTGTGAATTCAAGACCCGTCTGAACTTACATAGTGAGACCCTGTCTCAAAAAACCCAAAAAGACTGGTACCAGAAAAAAAACTAAAAAAAAGAAAAAAGAAAAAGACCCTACCCTGGGACCCTAACTTCCAGCTCCAGACCCACCATAGGGGCTTGCATCCTATGAGCATTCACAAGTGTATAAATGATAAAATCTAAGAAACAGGAGATCCCCACTGAGCCCTTTCCCAGACCAGGCACTGCTCTAAGAGCCTTAAAGAATGCTTTAGTTGGGCAAGGGAGTTAGCTCAGTGGTGCAGCGCCTGCCTGGCAAGTGTGAGGTCTTAAGTTCAATTCCTTAAGTTCAATTCAACCCTCCCCACCCAAACAAAAAAAAAAAACAGTTTACTAAATCACCCCAATAGCTCTATGGTTACTCCCATTTTACAGGTGAGGACACCGTGGCCCAGAGAGGCTAGGTAACTTTGCCAAAGTCACACAGCTCCAGAGAAGGCCCTTTTAACCCATCTCTGAATGCAGCCGGCCCCTGGCGTCCATCCCCCACCTCCGTCTCAAGTCCCACCTGTCTGGTTGATGCTGACGCTGGCGGTGCGGAAGCTGCGGCTGGTCACCATGCCTGAGACGCCGTTGCGGGCTTCGACGGCAAAGGTGTAGTTCATATGCGGTTCCAGGTCACTGACCGTCACGCTGGTGCGGGTGAGCGCGTGCGGCGGCTCTGAGTAGCGCACGCTGGCCTCGCAGGGCGCACACTCGCCGGACTCCGGCCAGCACTGTTCGCAGGTGACCCTGTAGACAATGTCCTCGCGGCCCCCGGTGTCCTGGGGCGGGGTCCAGCGCAGCTCCACCTTGGCACCCATGCCCACGGCTGTGAGGTAGTGCGGGGCGGAGGGTGGGCCTGCACAAGAGTGGAGGTCGGTGTTTGTCCCCTGCCACACCTCCCCGGCCACCCCTCCCCGGCCCTCCGCGGGACTCACGGGTGCAGGGCGTAGACAATGCGTCCTCTGGGGCCCGGAAGTAGCCTTCCTCACATTCACAGGAGGTGGCGCCTCCGAGGGACGGCAGTGTGTGCGCCGGGCATTGCAGGCAGGGGCTCTCGGACGCCTGGGACTTGAAGAATCCCGGTGAACAGGCTGGCGGGCACAGGGACAGCGGCACACGGTCAGCTGCGTCCGTTCCCTCCACAGGGTTGTCCCCAATTTCACCGCGGACCTCAGGCCAGCCACTAAATCCCTGGGACCTGTTTCTTGCTGGCTTGCGATGACAAGACGTGTGGCCAGCATCCAGCCCTGCTAGGCTCTAAGAAGAGCCTCTATGGGCCTCAACCGGGACACCGCTGGCCACCAGCTCCCAGGAAGTGCCACGTCCCCGGGCCTGGCATTCCCGGCCCACTTTTAGCTTCCTAGGAAACCTGTGAGCGCCTGACTGGGCACACTGTCCGCCTGCGGCTTCTGGCCTTTGACCGGTGCACACCAGCCTGTCGGGCCCCCTTCTCCCCAGGGCAGCTGCGACCTGACAGCGGCGGCCACATCTGCCCGGCAGCTGGTATCTGCTGACTGACTCCCACTGCCCCTCTGACTGATCGGCCAGCTTTCCCAGCGCAGGACCTCCCACCGCAGAGGCTCCCCTGCCCCAGGACCTGATCGTCGTCCCGTTCCAGCGCCGGCCTACCAAGAAGCAGGAAAGGCCAGGCCCCTAGCATTTTCTCTGAACCAGTGGTGAGTTATTTCTACCACTCCCAGGGCAGCCAGGAAGCAGCTCTTCCTCCCGCAAGGCCCGGTCCCTCCTGACCCTGCTGGCCAGGGACCCAGGCACCTGACTCTGGGGCTCCTTCCGGCTACCGCCCCATCCTGCCCCTGCCCAAGCCCCTTCCTGGCCTCAAGGCAGGAAGCTGCTCAGACTCAGGCCACTGGGGCTGACCGGGACTGGGGTGGCTACAGACCCAGCCAGAGTGGGGTCACGCTGGGACCTCCTCTCACAGCTCTACAACCACCCCCTCAGCCTATTCTGAAGAGTGGGTCCCAAGACACCATCAGTCTGGGTGACACACTCATCAGTCACTGACCTTCTCTGCCTGCCCGATGCTGTACACAGACCCTGACATGAAGACAAAGCCCTTGAACTCAGAAGTGGGAGCCCATGACAATATCTACTATCCCAGGATAGGTGAAGAGCTAAGGGGATGAAGAAGAGGAAATTACCTTGGCCAAGGGTCCAAAAACTCACAGAGGAGATATTTTAGCTGGGGTTTACAGGTTGTGTAGGAGTTCAACAAAGCAGAGATACAGAGGAAGGGAGTTGCAGGTGAGAAAGAACACGCCTAACACGGAAAGTATGAACAGCTTTGGAACACAACTGAAAGCGACTACAGGCCATCAGGTGGTGGAAAAAGCCCTTGAATGTCAGGCCAAAGAGCTTAGGCAATGTCCTGGGGCAATGGAGAAGCATTAAAGGTGCGAATAATGACTAGTCAGGTCTACTCTGTCAGGAAAAAACCCTTAGACAGAGGCTGCCTAGCGTCCAAAGTCAGCTTGAGAACACCCTGAGGACAACCAATTTCAACTGTCCTGGTCACCTCTGAGATGCACAGGAGAGGGAGGGGGACCGGGAGTCAGACTGCATCTCCTCCCGGGCCCGGGGACTACCCAAGCAGCATCTCTGTGCCCAGCCTGCTTCAGAGACCCAGACAGAGCCCTGATGCACCTGTCACCCATGGGCACTGCCGAGGCACCTACTGTGTGCAGGACAGGGACGAGCACCTCGCCTCCGTCCATCCTCACAAAACACCTGTCACCCGCGGCACTGCCAGCATCCCTCCCGCTTGGCAAGTGAGGAAATTGAGGCTCACAGAGGCTGACAAAGCGCCCTAGGGTCTCCGAGCTACACAGGCATAAAACCAGAACGTGCGCCGACTCTGTCCTCCGTCCTTCCCCGCCCCTGCTCCCAGGAACGCTTCAATTTGGAGCAGAGAAATCAAGGCTCCGGGATAAGACAGAAGATGTGTCCTGACCTGCTTCAGCGGCTAGAAAATTCCCGAATTGTTTTGGAGCAGCTCTTGTCAAAGTGCGCACATGTGTGTCTAGGGAGGACAAGCAGAGGCTCCAGCCCGGGGAGAGTCGGCAGGATTAGCTAAATTGGTCTCCTGCAAGCCCCAAACGTCTTTCAAGTCTCCCGCTGGGCTTAAGGGGTCCGTGTGCATTTTGTATCTCTCCCCACCCAAGCCTCAAGGAGAAACGAGGCTTCGCAAAGCCGGGCTGTGACTCTCCAGGCTTTGAGGTCCCCCCAAATGCTCATCGCTGGAGGCATCCGCACCCCGGGCAGCGCTGGCTCCTGAGAGTTAGTTAGGGGCTCAGGGCAGCAGGCCCAGCCCAGAAGGAGGCTCTCATTCCTAGCCCAGGATCTCAGGCTGGGGAGGTGCCCGCCAGCCTCCTGCACCCGCGCACTCAACAGGTCCCCACTGCCCACTATGGTGCCTCCCAAGCCCTGCCGCCCTGTGCCAAGAGGAGGAAGTGGGGGAAGAGGTAGGCTCCATTCTCTGGGCCCAGCCTGGGGGTGGCCTGCCTGCTGCCGGCAGGAAAGAGGGAATTTGGAGAGATTTCCGCTGCGGATGTGCCAGATAATACAGCGGAGAGGCAGCATCAACAGGGCATGTGCTTGCCTGACGAGAATGCGCCGCCCCTCCTCCAGCCACAGACGGAGCAGCTCCCCCCTGTGCGCTCCCCGGGCCCTGTCACACTTTGCAAGTGTTCAGGGCTCCCAGAATCCATCATTTGGACTTCAAGCAAGCCTCCACCTTGGCTGGATTTCTGGCATTCTGGGCAGGCAAATCAGGACCAGGGTCATACACAAACATGTACCCACATACACCAAATACTTGATATCTCTTAGTCAACTAGCAAACTCCTGTGCAGCCTTCAATACCCAGCCTAAGGTCCTCTACACAGCCCTCCCAGACTGCCCAGTTCCTGGCCCCCTCGTGTTCCATATCTACTGTTCAGTGTCATGTTTACCAAACAGAACTGAGCACATCCTACTTGTCTGGCACAATGCTGGGTGCTGGGATACGAGGGTGAGAGAGATAAGCATCTTTTCAGCTCCCGGGGAATTCACAGCCTGGCTTTCATGCCTCATTTGAAATGATTTCCGCACATAGGTGGATCTTCTGTGAGACTGACAGCCCCTGGGAGCAGGCATGGAGTCTGATTTATCTGCACCCCATAGCCTAGCACAGAATCTGCAGAAGTTGGTACTTAGCTCAGGTTTTAAATGAGTAGATGGCCAGGCATGGTGGTGCACGCCTGTAATCCCAGTACTTGGGAGGCTGAGGCAGGAGGATCTCCATGAATTTGAGGCCTGCCTGGGTTACATAGTGAGTCAAGACCAAGCTGGACTGCATAGTGAAACCCTTTCTCCTAAAAACAAACAAACCGAAAAACCAAACAGATGGACGGAGAGATGAATGAATGAATGAATGAATGGCCGTGTGGATGGCAAAGCCTACTGCATGCAATTAAAAAGGCACCTCTAGGGTCACACGAGTGAGCAGTATCTAAGGGCCCAGGGAGGCCCGGGGAGGTCGTACCCTAGGACACCCACCTGCCTGGCACAACAGCAGGGCTCTGGCACACCTGTGAGGAAGAGCGTCTCTGGCCCCAGCTCCCTGGCAGGCCCAGGCCACTCCAAGCTGGGGAACTGGGCCATGGTGGCTGCACCTAGGGCCGTACCCTGGTTTTTCCAGTTCCCGATGCCCGCCCCTCAGGTGGCAGCGTAGGTGACTCAGGGACAGACGCCCTCCGCATGACGCAAGCTCAGTCCCTGGCAGAGCTCCTCCCCTGGGCCCAGCCACCTCCCTGGCTCCAGGTGGTGAGGTCGCGGGAGGTCAAGAGGTCATGGCGACAATTCACCTAGGGTTAGTCACCTCCCCAGGCCAGGACCTGCGGGTGACCACAGGCTCCACTCTGGCCCAAGCCTGGACTTTGTCCCTGTGCCCCAACAGGCAGCAACAGCACCCTGTGAGTTACTGACTTGCAAAGGAGGGACGCAGGGCCCTGATAACTGCAGGGCCTGGTGACTTCTCGCAGGTCTGTCATTCCTGCAGGAGGGGGGCCGTTTCCAGGGTCCTCTGGGGCTGGCAGGCAGCACCCTGCCCTGCCCTTTCGCACACCCCAGGAACTGATCTGCGGGCACATTCCTCGCCCAAGCGTGATAAACCCGCTCCACTCCCCTCCGCCCCTCCCGCTCGCTCCCACCCCAGCCTTTTATCTTCTGTTTGCTTTCCCTGCCTGCTTCCTTCCTTCCCTTCTTCCCTTCCGGGGACCCACTTACCCCAAGGAGGGAGGGAGGGAGAGGCCACACCTGCCTGGCTGTCGGTGCCTGCATTTGCCCCAAGTGAGCTAACCGTGGGGCAGGCAGGGGGCAGAGGTCAGAGCCACCAGCGTGACAGAGTTGCCACCACAATCCCTGTCCCTGCAGCTACAAAATCAAGGCCAACAGCACTCCTTAGGGAGGGGACGGGCCCGAGAGCCCCGATCAACTCACTGAACCCCTAGCCCAAGGATCAGCCCAAGGATTCTGCCCCCGCGCCAGGTGTGACCACAGCGACTAGAGCCACTGCCTGCCCAGGGAGGCCTCCCCTTCAGCTACGGATGCTGGGCTAGGCTTGGGCCACTCGGGATGCGGTGCTGGGACCCCTCCTCACCACACATTGTGGGTCACGTGCTTGACAGCTCAGACAGAATCAGAGCAGAAAGCCACCAGAGCCAGGCTCTGGTCCCCAAGAGGCAGGGTGCTTTGGGGGTACTAGTCCAACCCACCCATTCATTTTATGGGTAGGGAGACAGTGTCCCAGAGGGGGCTGTCCAACATTACAACACTTGTGGGTAAAAGCACCTACGCCAGGTGTGACTGGGGCTGTGTGGTACCCTCCTTGCGCCAAGCCCAGTTTCTTTTGGTCACTATGCCCTCTCTGGACTCAGTTTCCTCACCTGTGAAATGGGGAAAAGTCCTTTTCTCTAGGCTGTTTTGAAGACTTGAAGGAAATCCTGCTTATGAACGTTTTTAGCATGGTGGTTGGACCGGGGTGCCCCTAAGAACTAGGGAGAGAAACCAGAGACGCGAGGGGACATCCCCAAGAGGCTGGCTCCCAGCTGCTGGGATGTAGCTCAGGCCAAGGCCGCAGGCCACCTGCTCACCTGGCTGTGGTCTGCCCCGGCTGAGGCGCCAGCCAGGGCCCCATCGGCTCAGTTGCCGATGCCAGCACAGGAAGCGGAGACAAAGCAGCCCCAGGGGACGGCGGTCAGCCTGAGTGACTCCACTGTCCCCTGGGCAGGGCCGGGGACCAGGCGGGGGGGGATGGAGGGAAGTGGGCTCATTCCTGACATAGCTCAGGGGAGCTCTGCCGGGCAGTGTGCCCACCTGTCCGCGCACAGCACCTGGATGACACTTAACCCTTTCCTGAGCTCCGCGGAGCTCCCCGGGGAGAGCACCCCAAAGGGAAACAAACAGATGTGGGCTTGGTGGGCTCAGGGTAGCACACCAGTGAAGCCCCAGCGGGGGGAATCCAGCTGACGGCCTGATGAGGTCAAGCAGGGAGGCCAGGGAGGCCAGGGAGGCCCTCCAGCCACCCCTTCCTCTCCCGGAGCCCCCAGCCCCTGCACCGTGACCCCCCATCCCGTGAGCCCCCTATCCCATGACCTGCCATCCCGGGGCAGCCCGGAGCGCTGGGCTCAGGGCCAGGACCTGAGTCAGGGATTCCAAAGGAACTCGCCATTTCCCACCCTGTTTCCCGCCCCATCCTGCGGCCCAGCCCCTGCTATCTGGATTCAAATCCCACTGTAGTCACCTCCTCGCCTTGGGGCTCCAGGTGAGTCTCTTTGCCCCTTTGAGCCTCAGTTTCCCTCTCTGTTCAAAGGCACTAACCACAGCCCATGCCCTCCAGAAGACGGGGCAGCTTCGGCAGGGCCTCGGGACAGAGCACAGGGAGGCACTAGTCTATGCATAGTGTCAGAGTCAGAGGGGGCTGCTGGCAAGAGTGCAGACCCCCAGGCACACGGAAAGGCATTCTGACAAGGGATCTTCAAACCAGGGCAACAGGTGCCCGACAATGGAAGGGTCCAGCGGCTAAGTCAGAGCCCCCTCTCTTGGGAACTGCTCCTCCCAAGTGAGGCCTCCCCAGCTTTTGTAAACAAAGCCTACCAGAACCCAGACCCCCACCTCCAGAGGAGAGGAGGCTCCCCGCCGCCTGGAGACCACCCCCCCATCTTATCTCTGCAGGGCCTGACTCGCCAGGCTGTGGAAAGTTTTCAGCTGCCCCTAACTCCCACCCCGGCATTCTTGTTTGAGGATGTCATGTGGGAGGAGCCTGCTCGCCCAGCGAGTGTCTCCCCCCCCCATTATTGTCTGAGGCTGGGAGTGTGCATCTGAGGTCACCTAAGCAGAGGTGGTCCAGGGAAAGGGCCTCACTCAAGAAAAGAGCTGGGAGGGGCCAGAAAGCGACTCTGAGAGCTTCTCACCTAGGTGTTTCCAAACGGGTTAAGCCCAGGTCTAAGGCTCTGCCCATGAGAAAGGGGTGTGGGGTCCTCCAACATTCAGCCCCCTTCCTAGGGTGCCAGAAACACAGCTCAAAAGCAAGCACGAAGCCTGAAGGTGACATTGAACTTTTTTCATTCTACTCACAGGACACCAGGCCAGAGACAGGAGGATTTGCGCAAGGTCCCCCAGCACGTGTGTGCACCTGCAGGACCAAGCCAAGCCCCCCGTTTCTCAACAGCCCGTTTATCTCTGCAACAAGCACCCAGCGAGGGGACGAGCTGGCCTTCCGAAGGTCAGCCCGCATTCCTCGCGTGCCCTGCCCCAAGCCCTCCCCAGAGGAGTCATCCGCTGGCGCTGTAGATTTCCGCTGTCATAGGCCCGGGCTGCTTGATGCCCCAGTCTCCTCCGTGTGAGCTCATTGGTGCCCAGGCCGCATTCCCAGAGAGTCTGACTTCACTGGCCCCTTTCCGAGGCTTAGTTTGCCACCAATAAATGGTGGAGAATCCAGGTCTGTAGCCTCAGGGAAGATCGGGCAGGAAGGACAGAGCCTGCACCCGCTTCCCACCACCCCCTCAAATGCAGGCCTGTTTCCAAGCTTCCTGGGGATCCTCATGCGGATTCTCACGTGCAAACCCTGGACCCAATTCAATCACCCTTGTTTATCAAAAAGGAATCTGAGGCCCCGAGAGCCTCAGTGACTTCCCTAAGATCACAGAACACGTTAGCAGCAGAGACGGAACTAGGCTCTGTTGGTGCCGAGTAGAGATACTCAGGAACTACTCGTGGGCTGAATCAAAATTCACATCTACACCTAAAAGTATGCATGTGTCAGGCACTGATCTAAGCTCTTTATGAGTATTAAGTCATTTCATTACCATAACCTCCCTACAAGACAGATACTATGATCATCTCCACTTTACAGAGGGTGAAACCCAAACACAGAGAGGTGAAGGAAGCGGCCACCCGGTGCAAGGCAGGGTGGGATTTAAACCCAGGCATTCTTTTCCTAGACTCTTGGCTCATCGCCTCTGTCCTAAACTGTTTCTGATCCATTCCTTCTCAGTGACGGAGGGAATCCAAGCCACAACTAAGGAAACTGATGTCTACAAAGGCCCAGAACCCCGGGATCACACCCTCCCACCCAGTGGGACCGGCACTCACCCTGGCAGGTGTCCTCCACCTTCTCGTAGCCTTCTTTGCACAGGCACTGCCCGATGGGCACCAGCCACTCGCCATCCGCTGCACAGTGCATGCGGGGCTCTTCCCCGCCGGGCAGCACCACGGCGTGCTCCACACAGGTGCCGGCCACCGTGGCCAGGGACGGAGCGTCGGAGCCCGCGATGGTCTCAGGGAAGCGGGCCAGGCCCTGCACCAGCTCCGGGCACTTCTTGTAGTAGACACGGACGGAGAGCAGCGCCACGCAGGCACCGATGTCCTGGAAGGCCAGGTAGAAGCCTTTGCGCGTGAGCGGCCCCACGGTGCGCTCCTCCACGTTCAGCTTCACGTGGCGAGCCTCGAAGTCACTGGTGAGGGTGATCTCGTCAGGCGCGATGGTGTCGATCTTGGTGAAATGGCGCTTCTGGAAGTTGGTGCCGTAGTCCATGTCTGACTCAAAGTAGTAGAGGTTGAAGGTCTCTTTGCAGGAGCTGGCGCCGCCGGGGAAGCTGTTGCAATCCCGCACGGTGAACTTGAGCTCGATGAAAATACGCTCGGCCTCGCCGCGATACACCCAGTTAGTACGCAGCCAGTTGTCCTGGTCACCGGTCACCACGTTGCACACCGTGTACATGTAGATGGGCGTGTCATTCATGATGTTCTGTGCCAAGTCCCACTGCACAGGGTTGACAGGTTAGTACAGGGAGGTACCTGGGGGAAACTGAGGCCCCGGTGGCAGAAGGGGGCACCAGGAGGATGTTTCTCAGTTCTTTTCTTTTTTGTCTTTTTGACACAGGGTCTCACTATGCAGTTCAGGCTAGCCTTGAGCTCACTTTGTAGCCCAGGCTGGTCTTGAACTCACAACCATCCTCCTGCCTCAGCCTCCTGAGTGCTGGGATTACAGGCACGCACCACCACGCCCGCCTGTTTCTCAGTTCCAGGGAAGACAGGAAAGTAAACTGAGGCCCAGAGAGGTACAGTCATAGCAGTTGTGCCAGGACCTGGGCCTTGGTCTTTCTGGCTCTCGTGTCTGGGTGCTAAATCTGTACATTAGGCTGGGATGGAGCCTGGGACTCTGTGTGACCTGCAGCAGGTCACTTAAGCAGTCTGAACCTTGATGTTCCCCTCTGTACATTGGAGACAAGGGCCCCCTACCTTGCCACAACTGCTATGATGATAAATGACAGTGTCTACAGAATGTCAAGCACAGAGCTTGGCATAAGAGGACAGTCATACAGGTAGCTGGCACTGCAAGGCTATCGGCATTCTTAGTCACCGTATGCCCTGGTCCACATATGTGAGTGGCAGGGAAGGGGTTAAGTCAAAACAACGGCAGATTTACCATCATTTAGACTTTGGCTTTGGAACCTTCTACACACATTCCTTGCTCCTCAGAGCACAGCTCAGCCTCCTCCGGGAAGGGTTCCCAGGCTGGGCCACCATCCCCCGCTGGCCCCCACGGTCTCCATGCCCTCTTGATCACAGCACCTGGCAGAAAGTGCCGCTTACCCTGGCTCCCGCGCTACATTCTGAGCTCTTGGGCACCTGCAGACCCCACCTGGCACAGAGCAGGTGCTCAGGCAGTCTTGAATAACTGAACTGGTGAGGGAATGAATAAACGATAGCAGAGGGGACAGGGAAAGAGGCCAGACCCGCACAGCGTGGCATTGGCCAAGGCTCGCATACCCTTGGGCTCCGTTTCCCACTCTGGATAATGACTGGGTTGGATGAGACGACCTGCCTCGCAGCAGAATATTACAGGATCTGAAAAAATCTGCTTAGAGCTACACCCCAGGCCAGGGAGCTATGACCAGGGCCAGGCACTGAACTCACACAGATCTGACCACTGTCCCAAAGAACACCTTAGAGATGATCCTTTCCCTGTGGCTCAGGGCCACAGGAGGAACCCAGTAAGGACCCACTGTACAGTGAGGGAAACTGAGGCAGGGATGGCAGCAGTATCTTTCCCAAGATCACATAGCAGTCGCCTGCAAGGCCAGGGGAGGGACCCCAGCCTCCGGTCACAGCCGGGCACCATGGCAGGGAGCAGCCTGCCAAGCTTCCAGCCCTGGCAGGAAGGGGGAGCAACAGCTGGGGGACAGGAAGAGAGGCCCGGAAGGAGCAGGAAGGAACCCGGCCCCTGCTGTGAGGGGAAGCTGAAGTCACTGCTTTTAATCTATACCTAGCACCCTGCTCCAGCCCTGCGAGCCCCAGCCTCAGGCCTCTCAAGCAGGACCTGACCTGGAAGCCTGGTCACACTGTGGGGTCTAGGCCAGGCCCTAGCTCCCTGGGTCCCACCCTGCACCCCATCCCAGCCCCCGAGGCCTCCTTACCCCTTTGCCGTAGGGGTATGTGAGCCAGCCGAGCTCCCCTTTGGCTTCCGCGAGGTCCAACAGGACAACTGCAAGAGACACAGCAAGGGACAGTGAGTATGGCAAAGACCACGCAGGGGAGGTGACAGCCCCTACCCCCCACCCCAAGGCCTTGGTCTGAGAAAGGACAGGACTCAGCCACGAAGCAGGTTGCGGTCAGGACCGAGCCTCCTGTCTCCCCGGCGACAACGCCCCCTTTTCAGTCTCCAGCCGGGCAGAGCAGGACAGGGACTCAGCCCAGTGGGAGAAGAGCAGCTGGGCAGAGAGCTGGGGCAGCAGGGTATTAAGTGACACCCTGCCACCCCATCGCTTCCTTGGAAAAGGGCTCTCATGGCACTTCACACACACACACACACACACACACACACACAGGCTTTGGGGACACTAGGCTGTGAGCACTGGTGCCTACTTCTGCCACATCCTCCGGCATAAAACATCCCACCCCACCCCACCCAGGGCACAAAGCAATGCATATGCACACGTCCGTGTACGCGTGTCCACGGCGCTCTGAAGAGGGCAATGTTAACAGCTGGGAACTGTTGGGGGGGTGGTGCCTGGAACCCGCTTCCTGTCACAAAGCCACAGCGCAGGTGGGTAAAGGTCCAGGCCCATTAGGGCCCCTACAAGGCGTCCAAAAGTACTCACAGTGGCAAGGTCCCCTCCCGGGGAAAGTCGCTCCTGCCACCCCAGCTAGGAGTGCCTGGGGGACCAGAAATGAAAACCCTTATAGGGCACTTTCCTGGCCCCGAGGGACCGGGTGCAGGACCAGGCTGTCCCCTGAGAGGCATCCGGAGCCGGGCAGAGGGAACCAATGCCAGGGGCTTCCCTAGCTGGGCCTGCCAGGTGCCGCCTATGGGTCCACCCTGGCTTCTCTGCCAGGCTCAGCAGCTGCAGCCAAGCCCAAGACACTGTCCTTTCCCCATTTGCAAGTAATGCCCAGGTGGGGGTCACTAAGTGCCACCTCTATGGAGGGCAAGGATATTGGGGAAACCGAGGCTTAGAATCTATGAGGCATAGAATCTAAAGTACGTCCAGCCTGAATCTATCCAGCATGCAGAAAGTAAAGCCCTAGGATGGACGGGATGAATCCAAGCAGTCCCTTCCATGATGCCCTGGAGTCTGAGGATCCAGCCGCAAGAGGCCATCTCCCCCAGGCCAGCGCCAGGGAGAAGTGGCCTACAGGCCAACCAAGGCAGGCTGGGAACAGAGGAGGCTGGTTTGGAGATACAGAATATAAGGTGAGGGATCGGAGGCCCTGACAGGTAGTCTTAAAAAAACCAGGAACAGTGGTGTAACACCTGTGATTCCAGCACTGCAGGAGGCGGAGGCAGGATGGTTAACAAGCTGGAGTCCCTCCTGGACAACACAGCAAGTCCTTGGCTCAGAATAAAAAATTTCATAAAAAGCCTGAGGATACAGCTCAGTGGTAGAGCTCCCCTGGGTTTGATCCCCCGTACTTTAAAAAAGACACTTCCTAGAGCTGGGCATATGCAGCTCAACAGTACAGTGTGTGCTTGCATGTGTGGGGCCCTGGGTTCAATCCCTGGCACCAATGAAAATAATAATAATAATGAAATGAAAAGCCCTGACCCGAGGTTAGACAGCCTCCTCCCCTGGTGAGTGCCTGGTGTGCGGCCCTACCACCCCAGCGCCGACCTCGGCCAAACCTCTCTAGGAAGGGTCCACGGCCAGACAGGAAAGAGGAAGTCTGATGTGGCACCGCGCCCCACGCCTAGGCTGTGGGGACAGGGCAGAGAGGCTGGTGGGTTGGGTAGGGGCAGGGATTTGTTCAGACTTGCCCAGGGCCCCAGTTGGACAACCCTGTGACCCCACTAGCAAGTGGAATGTTCCAGCTACATGGGAAAGAACCCAGGAGTTCCTGACTCCAGCTGAGTGGGAAGGAGGACAGCAGTAAGTGTGAACTCCTCACAACCCCCACACACACATGCGCGCACACACACATATACACATGCATGCAAACACAGACGCGCGCCACACACACAGCAGGAGGCTGCAGCCTGTGTCCCTCCAGGCTTCCGGGCTCTGAAGGGTTAGCCTGGCACAGCAGGTCCCTCCACCCTGCGGCCAGGGAGGCTCAGAGGTATCACAGGGCTCCATCTGAGAAGAAAGAAGCCTCACACAGGAAGGAGCCTCCCCAGGGGCTTCCAGCCAAGCCCCCACCCCAGGAAATTCCCTAGAACCAACCAGCAGGAACAGGGGGCTCAGCCCAGTCCCTCTGCCCTGGCCCGAGTCTCTGGAGAGTCTCTGGAGCACGAGGCTCCTCCAAGCTCAGTGGCGCCGACTTTCCTGGAAGGGGGGAGCCCTGGAGCCTCTCAGTCCCCCAGGGGCTTCCCAGAGAGGGTGGCCCAGTTGGGGGATCCTCTTGCCTTCACCGGTCAGGTGAACTCCTCTGCTTGCAGTTACTGTACAAGTCACCCTTGTGAGCCACACTGCTGCATAGCATTTTCCACAAATGCAGTGCAACCAACGGTCCCCCACTGCCACCTCCCTGCTCCCCACCCCTGTCCTCCCAAGACCAGCTCACCCCTGAGGAAGTAGCGGGCAAGGGCCTCCAGAAGGAAAGCAGGGCAGCCAGAAATCAGGCCTGACCCTTGCAGAAACAAGAGCCCAGGCCTCCTGGGTCTTCCTCAGCCTGCTTCTGGCCATGGGCTCCATCCTAGGCCTGGCTACATGGCTTCCCAGCAAAAGCCACCGTGAAACCAACCCCAAGGTCAGGGGCCCTTGACTGTGGCAGCCCAAGAAGCCAGGTGCACTGGTCTCATGCTCCATGCAAAGGGCTCCGGCTGACAAGCGTCAGGCCTCCCTCAGTTCTCCCATTTGTAAAAGGAGAGCAAATGGTAAGAGGAACTAATCAGCCCCACCATTTTCCAGATGCAAGAGTAGGGACAAGAAAAACAGACAACTAAGAGCAGTCGGGGTCCGGGGTGCAGAGGGCCGGTGTGTGTGTCCTCCCACCTGCCTCCCCACCCAGCACACACAGCCTGCATCCCAGAGAACTGAAACCAGCAGCTGCCAGCTGAGCCCAGACCCGGGTGCTCACCCCCACCTAGGCACAGCATCCTAGGGAGCCCCCCAGGGGGGCTCTTGGAGCCTAAGCAAAAAAAGGCCCTATCCCAGTACAATCTGCACCCCTTCCTCCTCCACCCCATGGGGAGTGGTGGATAAGACAGTCACAGAGGCTGGGGATCCGATCATTGCTACACAGCTCTGCCAGGCATGGGACAAGGCAGCTCCCAGCTGGGGGTTGGGGGCTGGAGCCTGGGGCCCAGCAGCAAAGCAGCGGCCTAATTCCCTCACCCCACCCCACCACCCCACCCCATCCCACCCCACCACAGCCAGGGAGAAAGGCCTGTAGTGATTCCAGCTGTCTCTCCCCTTCTCTCCAACCACAGTCCCCCAGGAAGGGGGAGGACCAAAAGGTGGAAGGAAGGGGGGCTTGCAGAGATCCCTGCCAGGCAATTCTCCTGCTGCCAGAGTCCCTCAATCTCCACCTCTCTCATTGGCCTCACAGGAAACCTCCAGCCCCAAGGTAGAGGCAGAAAGAGAAGTCAAGGCTCAGGAAGGCTTCTTGCCAGGCTCAGGGTTTCCTCCGCTTCCCCCTGGCGGAGCCCGGGAGAGCAACACGCAGCCCAGGTCAGCAGCGAGAACAACTTCTCACTCGGGGAACCTGAAGCCGGCTGATGGGTGGACAGGAAAGCTCTTCCCCTGGGGAAAGGGCCCCCATCCTCTCAGCGCCGAGCTGGCCCACCCAGGGACAACGCCCCCATCCGCACACAGCTCTGTCCTGGGCAAGTCTGCTGCGGCTCCTCACCCAGCGCGGCTCCAGGAACCCTGGGGTGCGGTGGGTGATTCAGCCCCCCGCCCCCAGGTGCCCTGGCTCCTTGGTGGCCCTCGGGTGACGGCTCCACACCTCGCTGGACCGCGCCCCCACCTGTCGCATTTCCTCGTTCTGAGTCACCCCTTGCTCAGAAAGTTTGACTTTGGGACTTCCTGTCCTCACCGGAGGCCCCTAACTGGTGCCCGAGTCCGGGAGGGCAGCTGGGGAAGGAGGGAAAGGCGCGCGGCAAGGATGGACCCCGTGCTCTCCCGTGCGCACCCCCAAGACTGGAGCAAAGGGAGATGGGAAACCTCGGGGGGTAAGAGCTTTGGCTGGGGACTCCCCGCTTTCCGAGGAGCCCACTCCCCAAAAAGCGGGCCCCCCGCAGAAATGTGTTCTCCTCTAAGTCGGGGAAAGTGAGCTAAGCGAGGGAAGGGAGTGAAGGCCCCGAAGAAGCTGACCCCACAGACCCCTCCCAGGACGCCCCTTTCTCCAAGGGACGCCGCGCCGCCCGCCGAGACGCGTTCCTGAAGCCGCTCCCCTTGGCTGCGGCCTCCGAGCCCTGCGCACCGGAGCCAAACCCCTCCGTCCCTGTGGCCCCCGATCCCCGGGGGCCCGGGGAGTCCCCACAGCAGTCCGCTCGCGCTCCGGACCCCAGTGCGCACGGACTGCGCGGCACCAAGTCGGTTTCCACAGCTACACTCAACACCGCGCGCCCGGCTCCCGGAGGCGCGGAGACCCGGGGTTCCGGGCCTCGCGGGTCCAGCGGCGGCTCTCACACTCACCTTCCTTGCTCTGCGCCCCGGCGGCCGCCACCAACGCGCAGCCCCACAGCAGGGCCAGGCAGGCGCGGGCTGCCCGGGGCTCCATGCCGCGATCTTCGCTCTCCGCTGGGTCCCAGGTGCCCGGCTCCCGCACGCCCGCACGCCCGCCGGCCTCGGTGCCCCGCTCCCGCCCGCCCGCGCGCCCGCGCGCAACTTCTGTCCCTCCTGCCCCGAGTCCTTAATGGAAGTTGGGTGAGAACCCGCTCCTGTTCATTCATGCCCCGCGCTGACGTCAGCCAGGCCACGCCCTCAGGAATGTCTTTAAAGGGGACGGGCGAGGGGAGGGAGGGGAAATCAGGAGGGATTTGGGGAGGACCAAGGGACCCTCGGGACCGTCAGCGACCCCCAGGCCCTCCCCTAGTTTGCGCGTCTTAAAGTGCCCGTGCCCCCAAGCTCTGATGTCCAGGAACCCTCAGCCCAGATGTGGGCTGGTTGCGTTCAGCCCTTTGCCCTGGGAGACTGAACTCCACGTTGGTCTCAAGCCTGGCAGAAATGGGTTGGCGGTCCAAGAACCACTTGGCCGCTTAGCAGCAGGCCAGGGGAGCAGCCCTGAAATAGACAGGATCTCCTCCCCTCCTGAGATCTGGGAAAGGTGCACCAAGCCCCCCAAACCACTGAAGGTCAAGGAAAAGGCCTCTGTTCAGAAGCCTCTAAGCCAAGCCTGATCTAACAGCAGCGGCCTCTAGGAAGGAACGAGGCACCGGCTACCTCATTTAATTCTCATCTGAGAGGCAGGTGCGGTCCCCACTTTACAGAAGAGGAAATCAAGGCTCCATGAGTTTACACCACATGCCCAAAGGCTGTACAGGCAGGATTTGAATTCCAGGGGTCTCTGCTTTGCCCACTGCTCCATACCAGGGAAGGGCGAGCACCCGCCCTCCAGCCCTGACATGGCAGAATTAGCTGGTGTATTCCCACACCAGAGGACACCTGGCTCCCACTGTTCCTCGAGGAGCCTCTCCCCCAGGGTTCCTCAGAAGTGAAGTCATCGCTCCTTGTGACGGAAGCGGCTGGTGTTAGTGAAACAAACGGGAAATGTCCTGAGCCACCTGCCCGCCACCCACTGCTGTGTGTTGCCCAATCACCATTTGGCCAGTGCGGAACGAACAGCTGTAGCCAGCCTGGTTTTCCAGGGCTTCCTTCTGTCCACCTCCTTCTCTCTGACCCTATCCTTTCCTTGACTGACTCCCCTGGACCTCTCACTCAGCACGCTGGGCTCCTCAGGCACCCAGGCCCTCCCTGCCACATGTGGACACCCTGGCTGGGCACCTGCCCTTGAGAAGCGGGTCCAGACATTTCCCCTGTGGAGGGGGGGAGGGTTAATTACAGGTGTTGGGGTTAATTAAAGCCTTCGATTGGGTTGTTGGGAGGGGGGCCTTGGTCTTCTGAGGCTGTGTGTGTGCAGGAGCCTGTGAGAGCGAATGCATCTGCGTGTAAATGAAAGTATTGGTGTGTGTGTGTGTGTGTGCATTGGTGTGGGCGTGTGTATGTGCTTGTGAGAGGGTTTCTGTGGGTGTAAAGCGTGTTTGGAGGTGGGTGTGCATGTGAGTGTGTTGGTGTACTTTGAGGATGTGTGTGTGAGTGTGTGTGTGAGTGTGCCCTCCACCACAGAGGTTTAGAACACAGGCTGTGCAGTCAGCCAGGGAGTTTTTTAAATAAGCCTGTTGTTCTCTTCCCTGAACCTCAGTTTGCTCATCGGGAAAACTAAAAACCTACTTGGGAGAGTTACTGTGAAGATCAAATAAGGTCATGCATGCAACCGCACATGCCGGGACGGCAGAAAGCACCAGTTAAATCTCAGCTGTTATTAGCGTTACATGCGGTTCGGCAGGAGGAAGTCACATCTGGGGAGGGCGGGGCGCGTGGTACACCCAGGGCTCTGTGGACAGGCACGTGAGTATGTGTAGAGACGAGTCTGTGCATGTGTGTGATACGTGGTGTTGGTAAAAGTTCCGCACAGGGCTAGGGACATTGCAGCATGTGAGCTGTCTGCAGGACCCTGTCTGTGGGTGAGGCACATGCTATTTGCAGGCAGGGTATGTTGGGTTTTTCTGTAGAGACCAGTGCTTGACATATAGTAGGTATTCAGCCCAAAACCTTTTTTTTTTTTTCTTTTCTTTGTCTTTTTGAGACAGGGTCTTGCTATGCAGTTCAGGCTGGCCTTGAGCTGACTTTGTAGCCCAGGCTGGTCTTGAACTCACAATGATCCTCCTGCCTCAGCCTCCTGAGTGCTGGGATTACAGGCGTGCACCACCATGCTGGGCTCAGCCGAAAACCTTTGCTGAATGAGTGAACAAAGGTGTTGGCATGTTGGGTGCCACTAAAGTCTCCATGTGTAGGGGCTGGGGATTTAGCTCAGTGGCATAGAGCCTGCCTGGCAAGTACAAGGCCGTGAGTTTGATTCCCAGTACTGGAGAAAAACCAAAAAAAAAAAAAAAAAAAAAAAAAAAGTCTCCATATGTGGTCCCGGTTGGTCTTTTCTGTAACATATGTAGGTTTCTGTAACATACGTAGGTTTCCATGCAGCACCTCCAAAGCGTGAGCCCACACACGTGTACCGGGGTACAGGCCGCCCGATGGCTGAGTGCGGGGCCCGGGGGACTGGCTGGTGTGTGAGGTGGCAGGAGGCTGTGGGGTGGGGAGCTCCCTGGCCTTTAGTCACCTATCTGGTGGCACGCCCTTCCTCTCTTCTCTTCCCAGCCAGTCCTGGGCGCTGGGTGGCTGCATGCTGAGGAGGAAAGTTCACCAGTGAGTCTTATAAAGCAGCACCGAAAGGTGGTATTTATTGTGACATAATCAGCTCTAATGGAGATAGAATTACCCCATAAAGGCCCCAAAGAGCCCTGAGGGCCTAAGTGCCACTGCGACAGGCAAGGCTTCCGGTACAGGCAGGTAGAACCTGAGTGTGTGTGTGCACACGTGTGTGTGTGTGTGTGTGTGCGCGTGTAGCTCCCTCACCTGTCTACCCAGGTGCCCATGTTTGCTAGGACTCGGCAGAAGGCTGGTCACAGGCAGATGACCTCGATGACTGCTGAAGCCTTAGTTTCTCACACCCCGCCTTTGATCTGCACTGCCTCTGGCCAAGAGCCAGATATTGGAAATGATTACTGTAGCCAGGTTTTATGAAGCGCTTACTAGGCTAGTGCCAGGTCCGCTTCCATGCATTCACCTACGCAGACTGCCTCAGGGCCCAGCCCCCACCACCAGCTGGATACTGTTACCGTCCTCGGTTCACAGAGGAGCACACTTGGTAAGGAAAGTTGGAGCTGGGGCTCCAGCCGGTCTAGATCCCTCGCACTCTCTCACTCCTACCTCTCTTCCTCGGCATCTCACCTCTGCAGGACTCAGACAGCAGCCCCCACCCCAAACCTAGAGCCCCACACCCATTCTCTGCAGCCTGGTCCTGAGACCCCAGGATCAGCCCCCTTGAGCCCCACACTACACGCCCATCAGGACTCTGGTCTCAGCTTCCTGAACTCTCTCTTGTTTTCGAGCCCCTCCCAGACCACAAATCACCCGGAGGGCAGGCGATGAACCTGACACCTCCTTGCATTCCTGGGCCCAGCTAGAACAGTGCCTTCCATACAGGAGTCACTGGGGAGACGCGCACGGTTGATGATGCCATTCTGAATCAGTTTCCTCCATTCCCTTCACTCTTTTCCCCCCATAGTACTGGGGGTTGAACCCATAGCTTTCTGTACTGAGCTACCTCTCCAGCTCTTTTTACTAGTGAGACAGGTTCTCACTAAATTCCTACATTGCTCAGGTTGGACTTCAATTTGTGATCGTCCTGCCTCAGCCTCCAAGAGCGCTGATTATAGGCACGCACCACCATGCCTGGCTTCAACCCACATTTCTTGAAGGCCCGCTACATGCCGAGCCCCATTGTCCAGGGAGATTCATTCAACCCTCCCAGCAGCCCTGGAAGGAAAAACTCATGTCCTTCTTTTACAGATGAAGAAAGTGGAGCTCAGAGCTCTGACTCACTTAGTTACGCAAGTAGGCTGCACAGGCGGAACTAAAGAGTGAAGTGTGTCTTGCCCAGAGCCCCGGCCACCTGCTCCCTTTTGAACACACACACCCCCATGCCTGGACACCGCTGTCCGAGCAGCACCTTTCCTTGGATGCCCTTTCTATCTGGCTAGCTCCTCCTCAGTCTTTTTTTTTTTTGGTTTTGGTTTTTTTTCCAGTACCGGGAATCGAACTCACGACCTTGTGCTTGCCAGGCAGGCGATGCACCGCTGAGCTAAATCCCCAGCTCCTCTCCTCAGTCTTCCTAACATGCCTCATCCGAGCACAGAACAGCCTGGAACTACCAGAAAGCCTCCTCCCCAGTGAGCGCCCAGGGCAGACTTGGTGGGTGGGCGGATGTGTGCGTGGGTGGGTGGATCCAGCAGACCTAGATTCTGCTATGTGGCCACCTGTGTGACCTCAGGTGCATAGTTTATGAAATGGAGCATAAGGATAACCATGTCCATCTTCTAGGGCAGCTGCTGGGACTAAACAGTACCTCCTACACAGTGAATCATTAAATCTCAGCCACTGCTACCTTTGCAATCAAATGTCACTTTTTTTTTTTTTTTTGACACAGGGTCTTGATATGTAGTTCAAGCTGGCCTTGAACTCACTGTGTATCCCAGGCTGGCCAGGAATTTGAGGCAATGCTCCTGCTCCAGCCTCCCAAGGGCTGGGTGGGATTATAGGCATAAACCACCATACCAGGCTTCGAAAATCACTCTTGAAGAGGCACCTAACATCCCTCAGACCAAACAAATAGCTTCAACCTGTAACAAACCCCACTGTCACTGTGTATTAGGACTACCTTTTGAGGGACAGGACCCAGTTTACTCCATCTTGCGGGCCCCAGTGGTGCTGGGCATACAGTGGGTGGACACACACGGCACACGCACACGGTTGCTACAGCTCCATGTTTTTCAAAACAAACCATATCCTCCAACTGCTGCCTCAAAGAGAGCGGACGGTTCGTTCTTCAAGTGAGGTTTGTGGAGTGATCCTGGCTGAATACTCCCCCATCACGGTCCCGTA